CACCAGAAGATAGCTTGTTATGCTCTGTAGATCCACAGGCTAAAGGAAAATGTTTGGTATCTTTGAAAAAATGTGCCACGAAATCCATTGTAAAATCCAGCCTTCAACATTTTACAAAGTGCCTCAGTCTCCTAACCTTATTAGTTTTTTCCAAAGCCTTTATTTTGTTTTGTTTTTGTTTCCTTATATTTTTAGGTGAATCTGATCTTCTTACGAACTCAGAAGACTTAGTAAATGCTGAAGAAAAACATGCTGAGACACATTCATAGGCCTGAAACACCTTAAAGACTTCTGTTATTTTAAACATGAGAGGTAATTTTATTTTATAGACAAGAAACTTAGCTTCTAAAATAAATGATTTGCATAATACCATTAGAGATGAAGTTATCTTATTTAAATGCCTTCCTGGACTTTTTAAAAAATCTCTATCATCAATCCTTTGAGACAAAATTTTAACAGGTAAACTTTAAATATTTACCTTTTCAAAGAGTACTTAATTTGTTAGTCAACAAAAAATGTATTTACTGGGACTGAAATTTTTATCCTTAAAAAAAAATGGCTGGGCGTGGTGGATCACACCTATAATCCTAGCACTTTGGGAGGCCAAAGTAGGCGGATCATGAGGTCAGGAGTTTGAGACCAGCCTGGCTAACATAATGAAACCCTGTCTCTACCAAAAATACAAAAACTTAGCTCGGCATGGTGGCAGGCACCTGTAATCCCAGCTACTTGGGAGGCTGACTCAGGAGAATCCCTTGAACCAGGGAGGTGGAGGTTGCAGTGAGCTGAGATCATGTCACTGCACTCCAGCCCAGGCGGCAGTGCGAGACTCTGTCTCAAATAATAATAATAATAATAATAATAATAATAAAGTTCATGGGGATATTTAATCCTCATTTCTTTTTCCACGTCATGTAGGAAATGTTTTAGACTGATTTCTTATTTTATTTCATGTAAAAATATGAATGTTTATACCCAGTAATTAAAACAGTGCAAGTATCTATCATGTTTGTTAAAATCTGTGCACATGTGCATCTGTGGTTCTCATTGTAAAAATTTAGCTTCTAGGGCTTGTTTTCAGCCTACCAAATTATTAACTCTGGGAGTGATGCCTTGAAAATTTGACTTTTTGATAAGCCAGTCTGTTGATATTTCTGTCCACTAAAATTGAGAACCCCTGTCATGAACTGCTAACAAATATGTAGGCAGTTAGGAGGAATGTGTATTTACAGTGAGGATGTCTTAATATCTACTAAAAAGAAAAAGATGTAAAGAACAAAACCCAAGAACAAAACACACTTGTTGGGGTGGTGTGTTGGAGGCAAGAGAAAATGCTGAGGGTGCATTTCAAACCTTAGAGATGTTATTAGTTCCACAGCTGTTACTTTAGATATGAAAGAGTTAAAATGTGATTCACTTTTAAAATAATTTCTTCCTCAATATTCTTGAGTTACAAAGACAGCTAGTTGTAAGACTGTCTTTTATTCGTAAGAATAGTTTCATTAATAGCAACAAAGTGTCAGGGACTGTGGTGAACATGTTGCATATATTATCTCGCTTAATCTTGTCAACAATTCCAGAGTTAGTGAGTGTGATCCCTATTTTGTTTATAAAGCTCGGGGAGAAATCAAGTTCAAAGTGACTGTTCAGCAATGAAAACCCCTCTCTATGTTTAACAATTATATTGTTTTATATACTACATCAGTTCCTCTCCCTACTGTCTATTCAAACTATAAATTTATTACCTCTAGAGCCCATGATCATTTCTTGTGTTCTCATGATACACAGCAAAGCCCCGGAAGTATATTTTAGGGAAAACTAATTTAGTGGAAGATTTATAGATGTTTTAAGTAACAGTGTTTCGTTGGCAAATGTATGTCTTTAGAAAACCAGGTAAAACAAAATTAAGCAAGATACTTTCCTACGGGTCATCTCCAAGCCAGTGTACGCCAGATATCATCAAAACAAAATTTTAGGATTAGCATTTTCCAGACATTTATGATAATGGATCTTGAATATTTATGAAAATTTTCAAAAAATTGTGTGTAGATAATAGATTACTAATACATTTGTAAAAATAACTGCTCATTGTATGAAAATACCTAAGGCAATTTATATGCATACATATATGTGTGTGTGTGTGTATCTGTAAGTAAGAAACTGATATTTCATCAGTAAAATGTTTTGATATGATTCACTTGGCAGTTAATGAAGTGTCTTTTTTCATTTTTCAACTAAAAAGACCCTAAAGCCAGAACAGTTTATGGCCCCCTCAAACTAAATATAATGTTTAAACCCTAGCGGACGGTTTGGCAATTTTTTTTTCTGTCAGGACCAATTAAATTATTCAGCTTTTTTCACAGTTTGAGAAAGCCCTGCCTTTGGTGCTCAGTCTTCCAGAAAATGTGGTCTTCAGTAGCACCTTATAAATTCTGTATGTTTACTAATTACATAACCTTAACAGAAGACTGCTACAACTGAGTTGATACAGTCCTGCAATATATGTTAAAGGAATTATCTCAATGTTAATTGGTGCAGAGTTTAATTGTTGGAACATCTTTACCCAAACTTCAGACAGAAATTCACATGCCTTCCAAAAACAAGTAGGTCCTTTAAATGAGGGAAGTGGGCAAGGTCTAAAAACAACAGGAGGAGTAACAATTGGCAACTATGACTCACGCGTGGTGCCTTGGAGACAACGGGCAGTGATCAGTCTTGGAAACAGAGAGGACACAGCATATCCAGCCTGAAGGCTACATTTGGCCACTCTTGGGCTCTGGCAGATCTTCACTCAAAGAATGAGGGCCCAGTGTTGCTAGCTGTTCCTAGTGGTTAAGAGAGGTTCTTAATGTAAACTCTTCCAATTTTTCCTGTTGGCTCGAAGTTTTTTGAAATGCTTTGTGGACAAGGAAAAAATATGTCTGAGGGTCAGATTTGGCTTGCAGGCTTCCTGTTGCAAATTCAGCATACCTTCTTTGTGAGTGATAGCTAATTATTTGCTGGCCACCATCAAAGAAAGTGTAGCTATTATGGTAGCCTGGCCACGTCTCTGAAAGCCATTGCCTGCTTTGTTCTCAATGTGTAGGTCCCACTGTGAGGCACTTTCCCAGAAAATATTGAGCTCTGATTAAGTCTGTGCCATATTGAAACTTTATAAATCAATGTGCAACACTACACTTAGAACAAAAAAAAAGCCCTTAAAATCTACTTTTCACATTGTTGTATAATTTCACCATCGTTTCTAAGACATTTTAGTCCATGAAAGTGTTTTGTTTTGTTTAAATTTTTTAATGTTTTTGTTTATTAAAGAAAATAAAATAGAATGGTTGGATATATAATGCCAGGCTGCTTTATTATTTAAAATGGCATATCATTTATCACATTATCTTTCTGGCATTTTAAAAGCAAGTCACTGTCAGACCTGTTACTCACTGGGAGGAAAGTGTTCCCTATCACGACCAATACCTGCTTTAACGTCGAGTGTACGATCTAACGAGAGACCAAAAATTGATGATTTGTGGGATGTATTTAGTCAGTAGAGTTGCCTTGACTTTCACACTGATTTAAAGTGTCTTTTGGAATGTCTGTAGACAGGGTTTATGTTCTTTAGTTCACTCTAGTCCCTGTGAGTCTAGTTGTCTTACACTCACACAGGCCAGGCCCACTTAACTCATTTACACTACCTGCCAGGCCTAAATGCCCATCTGATCTAGAGAACCAAAGTTTTTACTGGGATTGAACATACACATACATCCAAACACACATGCACACACCCAGAGCAGAAATAGGAAGAGAAATTCCAACTGATATAAAACCATATCTATTATATATGCTGAGAAAGCCCTTATTTTTGACGAGGTATATAAACTACAGTGTGAATTGCCACACAGTAATTGATACCTGTATGTGAGTAAATGATGACCTTCTTTCTATGTTTTCTTTTCTTTTTATTTGTTTATTTTTGAATTCACAAATAAAAATGGTGTGCAACATGTTTTTTTGAAATTGTAGAATGGCTAAATCAAGCTGATTAACATATGCATTACTTCACATGCTCATCTCTTTTTGTGGGGAGAACTTTTAAAATCTACTCTTTTAGCAGCTGTTTTCAGGAATATGATACATTGTTTCTAAAGTACTGTAACCACGTTTTACAGTAGACTTCCTGAACTGATTCCTTCTATATAAATGAAATTTTGTACTCTTTGACTAGCCTGCCCAGCCACTAGCCACTCCTTTTTCTCTGATGTACATTTTCATTTGGATTTTATTTCAGGACGATGAAAACAGCATGAAAACATCATAAAGTCTCAACCTTCCACAAAGCTATAGCTCCTGTTTCAACACAGAATTGGATTGGGCCATTTTAATTGAACCCTATACAAGGAATTAAGAAGAACATAAATTCTGAGCTAGTAACTCTGGCCAAATAAATACATTCAAGTTCTTATCAGAGTTTTTGGCCAGTGCTTCTGCCATTTTTTTCCCTCCGCAATTTGGCCTTCTTCAATCAAGCCAGAGAAATTTTTGAGACAAAAGTCGGACAGTTTTTAATTTTTCTTGCTCTGGACCCAGTCATAATGATTGTGCAATGCGTGTGCAGCAGATGAAATAATTTAAAATTTACTTCCTTGCACTGTCTTACAGAGTGCTATAACTATAATTTTTCAAGGTCTTAAATAAAAGGAAGCAAAAACAAAATTATGGAAAAAAAATCTTTTTGCAGTGATGGGGAATGGACTATTTAGATTGTCCTTCTTATTTCAAATGCATAGGAGCAAAATGACAGGTGTGACTGCCGAGGAGTTGGTTGAAATGCCAGAGCAATTCTACAATCCAACAATGGAGCATCAGAACCCCAGCTAGGTGACCTGAGGAACACTTCATGGTAAATTCTCATGCTAAGAAATAGCAGTGAAACCTTTCTCTGAACACTGTGGGCCAGCCTGTGTCCATCCCCGTGGTTTCAAAGCACGAATGCATAACGTCCATAGGTGTGGTTACAAGCAAGTCACATGCTATCTGCAGTTCATGATAGGACCATCAGCCATTGGTGGAGACAGACACTAGAATGGAAAATGAAATTTGCCTGTGGGGTGTTTATCCCATAAGGATGTAACAAAACATATTACCAGCCAAGAAATAAGAGACAAGAATGTGTATGTGTGTTCAAAAATGTCTATGAAAATGAAAGCCCACACTTTTCTGTACAGATAACATTATTTGACGTGACTTTTATATTTTACTACACAGAAACAAACTGCAGCCCTCAGAGGCCCTGCTTCCTTGTCGTGTTTTGCCTGAGCATGTGCAAAGTCTTTCCTTTGCTCAAAGCTGAAAAACTACCTTTATGTATTATTAGCTGACAACAAATCTCAAGCACAATTAGATGTGGTAACTTTTCACTGTACAAGCATTGCAATAATTGTGAGCTTCAGTGAATTTGTCTTTGTGAAAGGTAGAAATTGGATGGAAAGAATCAAGAGTAGCCATCAATTAAATCGTGCAAAGGAGGATCCATCCATCCTAACAAGTTTTCTGCTGCACCTGCTTCATTCCTGGGTTCCACAATGCTAAGCAATATTTTAGAAAAGGATACATTCAGAAGCTTTTAAGCCTAAGTGGTGAGATTTTATAACTCATAACTTAGATCTCTCTTAATGTGTAAGCCATATTCTATATGCATATTTAGTATGCATCATTCATTGTAATTTAAGATATATTTGGGTATAGGCTGTATAAAATGCTTTTAATTGTTCTGTGAATAGATCCTTAGCTTTAGTTTCACCAAAATCTCATGCAAAACACAGCTAAATAATTGAATTGTATCATAGACATTACAATGTAATTGATATTTTAAACGTAAGCAGTAAGATTGATCTATAATAACGTGCTGGGGGAAAACATTTATAGATATGTACATCATGGTGACTTATTATCCTTTCAAATGGACTTTTTATTTCTATTTATGGAAAGACTGTAACTGCTGCTTTGAATGTCTTTTTAAAACAAGGCATTAACCAGCTAGAAAATATTGTGCATTTAATAGAATCTATCTGGAGGGTCTAATTACTATTGTTCCTATTTGAGCCAGTTGTCTTTCAGTAAAGCTATAGAATCTCTCAAAGAAGGAGTAAATATAAATGCTACTTCTCAAATGTCATAGGAAGCATATCCACTTTGTTTCTATTAATATTTTAATATCTATAAGACCTTATTACTAAAATAATAGAATATAAAGAATTCATCAATTTATGTACTTGGGATTTAACCTAATTTTCCAGGTTTTGCTACTTATAAAGCACTGTGACCAAATTTCCAGAAAGAGTGCAGAACAAAAACAGTTTCACTCCTTCAGAAGAATTGTCACACTGCTGCTGTACTTACTTTCCTAATCTCTATCTGCTACACTCCCTCCTCTTTCTTTTTCTTTTAAGCTTTCATATTTCTTCCTTCCCTTGTTATCCTCTCTGTAAGACAGCTACTACTTAGCACTAATTAATAGAAAGTCAGAGTGGAGGTCATCTGTGCCTGTCCCTTCTGCAAACATTAATATTGAGCCCATCTGAAGAGAGGGATTGATGAGTTAGGCTGCTGCACCTTGAATGTCCTGCTTTGCATTTTAAACCTCAACTCCCCAACATATGTATTCTGCAAGTTTATATGCCTTTTCATTTAACCAAAACCTCTTTTATTTAATTTTTAACATGACAACCTACAATTCTTGTGTTTTTATTATGGTGTATTTCTCTGTTTTTCTTATTACATGTGATTGCTAAATAAATCATATTTGAGGGAAAACCTTGTGAAACATTTGGTGTTTTATGTAATTTAATTTAGTGGGGCATTGAAAAGTTGGAGAAATTGGGTAAAACCTAAAGGAGACCAACTTAAAAATTGATATGAGTTTTGTGAGAAAGTGCTTTTTGCTCTATTGAAGAAATACTTATTGATTTACTTATTATTATACCTGCTATTCTTAAGCTCCTGGCTGGAAGCATGGTGCATATATGAATATGGAAACCCTTCCTCTAGAAATTTCAAGTCTCATAAAGGAGAAAATCTACACAGACTATAATTTATACATAATAACTAGGACACCACATAAAAAAGTAACCAGTTGCAAATAAAATGCACCAATGGATATATGAGGAGGTAAAAAACTGCTTCTGTCTTCAGAGCTTTATAGACTAAGTGGTGCATCAGTTGGCATTTAATAAATAAAACAAAAGCTTACAAACATTGCCTATTTTCCATGTGCGGCCTCCATGTAAATGCTTAACAATATTATCTCAAATCCTGACAATAAGGTATTGTTATGAACAAAGGAAACCAAGTCTCACAGGATAAGCTTTGTCCAAGGCCATGCAGGTCTCCGCTGGCAGACTCCACACTGGATTTAGTTCTAGGTTTCTCCAGCACCTTGTTTTCTTTCTACAACATCCACGTGGGGCTGGGCAGAGCACATCAGAAGAAAAAGCTCTGTGAAGAAGAGCAATGAGAATAAGGCAACACCAGAGAATAATAAAGAAGCAGAGTGTTGAGTCAAGATGAAGAACTAGTGAGTCTCAATTAATTGAATTAAGAGTAATTGGCATGGTATGTGTTAGCCCTTAAGCTGTGTCTCTATGAGGCCAATGAGTTCTGGAAGAAGGTGGAAAAACTTAACTGGTTATCAAACACATGAAACTTAGTGGAATTTTTTACTTTGAGTATGAGTACATGATAAATTTCCATCTAATATCAAAAAGGTTTCAAATGCTATATTTCAAATATAAAAGTTCATTTTTACATTTAGAAATATAATTTAGATATAAAACATGTATTTCCTTTGGAAGCTATAATATATTAGCCTTCTGTTCTCTGTTTAATTGCTTTTCTAAATATGGCAAAGCTTATCTGCCATTTAGGACAAGTCCTAGACAATAAAGACAACGTATATTTTAAAGTCAAAAGAACAAACACCTAATAATATCCTGCATTATTACATTCTTAATTCTTTGAAGGTACTGTCAATATTTAAGATACGGTTTCTATATATGGGCCAACATTATGTTTAAAGCTCTAGTTGAGTCTTTTTATTCCTTAATCATATTAATTAATTTCTAGATAATTTGCTTAACATGTATGAAGGTTGGAGAGCTTCCTTTGCATCTCCAGTTGATATATTTTTATCTCTAACAATTAAAGAGTATAGTTACGTAGTTTTAGTTTATTGTAGTCATACTAGTGCATGATATTATCTTACATTATCTCTTTTACTTTCTACGACTACTCTGTAAGGCATTATCATTCCTTATTATAGGTAAGGAAGTGTGGCAGAGGAAGATAAAATAATTGGTGTAAGGTCAGGCAACTAGTAAGTGGAGGAACCCAGATTTGAAGTCTGAGGGAGTCTGACTCAAAACCACTAGGCTAGGTTGCCTCTGGCCACTGGAGTGGTCCGGCACGCATCACGTCCTGCGCTGCACAAGAGTTCAAGGACCTAAGAGGGAACGGCGGGGGATAAAGAAGGACACAGACGCAGACATAGAAACAGAAAGCTGGGTGGTCCAGGTGGTCCAGGAGGTGAGGATGTCAGTCTCTCTGACCTCGACCTAAGTGTACTTTATTTTATATGTTCACAAAACACATAGCAGAGGGAGGGTGCAGTTACTTAGAACAGCCCGTGGTTATTATTCTCATACTTCAGTTAATATACTTCAGCTAAAAACTATCTTGCAGCAAGGTCAGTGAAAGCTGGTTATCTCTCTAGGCCTATCTGTTCTCGCCGAGAAACACATACTTCTACTGTGGTTTCACTTCCCTGAAGTTCAACGAAAGTTCACAGCAGCCTTGCTGCTGATCCCCCCGGAGCGAGTATGCTACTCCGGCTCCCTACAGAGTAGGATCTGTCATTTTTTTTCTATTTATGATATTCATTGCCATCCCTTTTTACTCTTTGTTCCATTTTGCAGGCTCTCGTCCCTAAAAACTACCACATTGAGAGGGAAGAATATTCAGTGTCCCATAGCAGGACTGTGTGTGCTTTGGTGACGAATTTAACCATATATTACTGTAGACAAGGTGTCCGATTTTTGTGAATGGGAGGAACCATTTTCCATGCTTAATATATGACTTTAAAATGTGCTTTTCAAGTAACCACTGGTGCTCACTCTCCACTCTTGCTACTCCAAATGTGGTCCACACCTGTGAACTTCTTAAAAATTATCTCAGGTTTCATATTAAACTGGAATTGGCATTTTGCAAAGATAACTTGGTGATTACTATACAAATCACTGTTCTAGACAGTAATTACATAATATGGAGAAAATTCTAAGTACCTACTAAGCACTTTAATACAAGGTTTTCTTCACGGTAGAGGTTCTTAATAAGTGCCTTTTGATTCCTGTACCCTTTCTCAGATCTATCAGAAAACATCATGGGACAAAAGCCAAAGGTTCAGGCTCTTTTGTCTTTTAATGAGGTGTATATATCTGTATTGATGAAATGTAGTTCCTTACATGAATAATTAGAGGAGGACTTGGAAGAAAGACATTAGGCTTGGAAAAAAGACATTAAATGTGTGAGCATGACCATTTGGCTTTTAGAGCAAAAAAAAATCTTTGAAAGCAAAATGCTTTATAAGAGGCATTAACATAGTTGGTTGATCCTGTTTTCATCGGCCTATAAAATATTGTAATTGAATCATGTCGTGTACAAAAGCCAACTTTACCTTACACAAGTGATAAATACATAACTGTTAACCTAAAAACATAGTTTGATGTGTTTCATTCTTATCTGCCAGCATTTTTTAAACCTTAAAATACAGAAAAATTTTTGGAGAATATACTTGAAATGTATTGGGTAGGATAAGGGAGAGGACATTAAACATTAGAGCTAATTGTCAAGCCTAGGGTGGAAGGAAAAGAGTTTGTGTTCACTTGGAAGTAGCCAGCCATCTGAGTTCAGAAACAAAATATACAAGGAAAAAAAAGAGAAAACAGGGAGCTGAGATTGGTTTATAGAAGAAAAGGGAGCTAAGTGTATTTTCACAGCGACATAAGCCCAGAGAATGTGGAGGATGGGTAGCTGGGAGGCCTCATTCCATCTGAGACTGTGCGGTGATGCAGAGAGTGAGAAAAAGATTCGTATTAGGCAATAGGAATGAGGGAGAACTGAAAGGACAGAAAGACGGGCAGTGTGTGAGATAGCATTTGTTCTTTGGTTTACCAAAGAAGCATTGGCTTTGGGCAACTGAATTTGGTTGGGCAAACTTTTCTGCATATGATACAACTTTCTGTTTTTCTGAGTCCTGTATTCACATCCCATCATAAGCCAACCAGCAGTGTAATCGCTTCTTGTGTGGTGTCTATTTTTCTGTTTAGGATTGGCACGTTGAAAAGGCTGAAGTGAAGCATGCATGGGATTCTCAGGAGCCTCCCCTGACCTGAAGGACTTTTAAATTACTCTAACTGAATATAAAACTCACAACATTCAGCTTTCCTCTAGGCAAAGCCAGGCTCAGAAAGCCCTACTAATGTGGCAATGTCACACCTTCAGGTGTTTTGTGCTTTTAGAGCACAGAGTTAGACATGCACCAACCTATTCAGAAGTCAGATGCTCCAAAGGTAATGGGAACTAAGCCTGTGAGGAGGTACAAAACTGAGGGGCTGTGGTATTAATCCATGAGCTGTAATTTTCAATTTTAATATAACAGAGAGACCAAAGACATGTTTAATAAATTTCTGGAAGGTAAATAGTAATAGCCACTAAATAATATTAAATCTTGAAATATACAGCTGAGGTATACACACACATATACACACACACAAACACACACATACACACACACACATATGAAATGTCCTGATCTCATATCATATGGAAGAAAAAATTGATATTATGATGATCTGTAGTGAGTGACAGTTTATATGAAGAACAAGAATCTATTTTTTTCCAAGTCAAACCTTTTTCCTATAGATATGATCCTATAAATTATCTTTTAGAGAGTATATAAAGAACCCCTACTCCCCCCAACCCACAAAAAAAAAAAAAAAAAAGCTTTTTTCAAAATCCTTGACTTTGGATGTTGATGGAATATTTGACTTTTCCCACAGCTTCATTGGAATTCCATCTTACCATTTCTAAATTACTGTATAAACATAGATGTAAAATATGTTCTTTTTTATGTACTCATCCTAAAATGAGTAAGGTATTAAACTGCACTAGAGTTCATTATCAAAAATTGATTTTCTGATGAATAATATCATACATGTATATGAACAAGTGAAGATAAAAATGTCTATTTAGAATTAAGAATATTCCTGTGCATCAAGTATGAATTAATTTTACCTTAGTATGTGTATGTGTTTGTGTGTATGAGTGTGTGTTTGGGCATATAAAACTTGATGGTTTCAGATGAAATATTAAATTCAAGGATTCAAGTTTCCAAACTCCTTGTTTTCTAACTCCTGCTCCATTCATTAAAATCACAATTTTCCCACTGAGAAACAGAAGAAAATGACAGCTACAGCACATTTTAAATAATTTTAATGATATTTGTCTCAGATTACAAAACCAGTATGCATTTAATCCCTTATTTTTAAACAAGCTCCGTTTTTTTGTTTGTTTTTTTGTTTTTTTTTTGTTACAGATAACATCTACATAGCATTCTTCACTTAGTCTGCAAAGTAGACTAGGCATTCCGTAGGGTCAGGGGTGTAGTTTTGTTGCCTTGTTTTGTCTAGCCTAACACAGCGTGCATACAGCATAGCCTAACTGTTTTGGACAGAATGTGTTAAGTTGACTTCAGCTACATATTTCTGAAGCGTTTTGGGGTTTCCCTTTTAAAATTGTTGTGAGAATTAAGCATATTGATAGAGATAAGGAACTTAGAGCTTATTGACTCATGTACTAAGTGAATGTTAGCTATTATTTTTTCATTTATGTCAGCATTTGTTCCTGACTATGTGATGCAAATATATTAGGCTGGTGCAAAATTAATTCCAGTTTTTATATATGAACACATAATTGCTAAAATTCATTGAGTGCATACATAAGTCTGCTAAGTTCTAAGTTTCTTGTCTCTACCAACTTAATTCTCACAGCAACCCTAAGAGATAAATATTACTGTTATATCCATTTTATAAAGAAGAGGCCTGAGACAAAGACAGGAGAATCAATGTGTTCAAGGTCTTCCATCCTAGAAGATGCAGGATTCTGATTTCAGAGTTCATGTCCTCAGCACTGTTTTACTCTTTCAA